TAGTTTCCCAAAATAAGGGGGCCCTAATGTAGACCCATACCATAATCCTTATTATACGGACCCCTAAAAAGGGACCCCTTATTTTGGGAAACCTAAACCCTAAACCCTAAACCCCCATATAGGGGCGATCATAGACCAGTTAGCCGTGCCACCCTTGCAGCCTCGAGGAGTTCCCCATGCAACTTGTAGCCGGTGTACACGTCTGTTGGGTTTAGGGTTTAGGGTTTAAGGTTTAGGGTTTAGGGTTTGAGGTTTAGGGTTTAGGACTCAGGTAAACACCCACGTGCCAAAAGCTCGTACCGGTGCAGGTGACAATCACCATGACCACGAACTTCACCAAGCAAGCGCGTGGCGGCATGTTCCGGCAGGCGGGTACTTCATGGGTGCCAAGTAGGTGGTAAACTTATTTTGGTAAGCAACAAAGGGAGCCCTGATATAGACCCCAGTATGCCAGAATCCTGAAACCAGGAACCCAAGAACGACGAGGTGCTACAGTGTCCTTTCGTCAAGGCTGACGATCAGCAGAGTTACGAAATCTGAAAAAAAATACGGTGATTGAGTCCTAAGAAGACTCCAAAATGTCCAAAAGCTCACACGTTTTGCAGTATTTTGTGGCCCTTGAGAAAACGTTAAACATGCGCGTCTACAGCTCCATGGGAGGAAAAACGACCTATATATCCCTAAACAATTTTCTATGTAACATGGCCGAATTATGAGGTCTATATCGGGGTCCCCCAATTTACGACCCTAAACCCTAAATCCTGAACCCTAAACCCTAGACTACGTGAGGTCTATGGGGGCCCTATGGGGGTGGATTATTACCAAGGGGGTGGGCGAAGGGTAGTTTCTAGGGGAGGAGTATGCTTGTTCAACACAATAGGGGATCGAAAATGCACACCTTGCGTCTTTTCTGAACAGAAGTAAGTTTACCACCTAGGTGGCTCTTAAAGGGATGACAAAGGGGTTCCCTTGCCTTAATCCCAAACCCAAAACCTAGCGAACCCCTAAACTGCGAAACCTCAAACACTAAACTCTGAACTTGGAAGTTCTGGAGTCGCCAGGTTTATAGCCTTAAGCCCGTAGACCCTAAACCCCAAATATCCCCTGTAATCCTTTAACGGGACTGGAATATCCATAGTTCCGTCGGATCTCACACAATCCCTACAAGCCCCTATCCGAAGAATAGTGTCCATGCCATTTTCCATTTAATTGCCCACTATTCTTAAGCCTACACCCTAAGTATCCTCTATCATCCCCTCAAGAAAACCAGAATATTGATAACTGTTTAGGCCCCTGCAGTATCTAAGGTCCTACCCTCAGCCACGACATGGCCGCCCATACCAGGTCATACTTCGGGCACATAGTTTCCATCCTAGAGTATGGTCAATTATTTGGCAACTGAACCGTAATCTCTTAGAACCCAAGAGTCCTAACTCCAAAACCTTAAATATCCCCTATAATCCCTTTCAAGGACCATAACATTGGTAGTTATTTAAACCCTTAACCCTTAACCCTGAACCCAAAACCTTAATCCCGAAGCCCTAACCCTAAGCGCTAATACCTAAACCTCAATCCCTAAACCCTTAATCCCTCGCCCTAAACCCTCAAACCCCAAACCCTTAAACCCTAAACCTTAAACCCCTACACCCAAAACCTTTAATCCCCAAAACAAAAACCTTTAAAGCCTAAACCCTGAACCTTTCATCCCCAAACCCAACACATTTTAACCCCAAACCCTTAACCAGTCATCCCAAACCCAAAACCTTTAAACCCTAAACGCTGAATCTTTAACCCCCAAGTCCAAAGCCTTTAAACCCTAAATCCTAAACCCTTATTCCCGAAACCCAAAACCTTCAAAGCCTTCAGACATTTCACATGTAATCCCCAAACCCAAAACCTTGAAGCCTTAAACCCAAAACCTTTAATTCCCAGACCCAAGACCTTTAAACCCCAAGCCTTTAATTCTCAAACCCTGAACCTTTAACCCCCAAACCCTACATTCCGAAACCCTAACCGTTAATCCCCAAACCTTACACCTCTAATCCCAAAACCTTTAAGCCCTAAAGCCTAAACCCTTTCCTACGGTAGTTGGAAAGAGGCCTTGAGCTCCGTTTTCCAGCATCTCAAGGAGATGCGCTTGGGGCTTCCTGTCGGCCGCGCAGTTTAGGGTTTAGAGAGTTTTAGGGGTTGTAGCATTCAGGGTTGAGGGGTTTAGGGGTTCAGGGATTAGGGCTTTTAGCGTTTGGGCTTTTAGGCTTTTAGGGCAGGGTTTAGGGTTTTAGGGTTTTAGGGTGATGTGTGCTGTAGGGATACATCGGGATACCTACCGGGGAGTTAAAAAGGTTTCAGGCCTACTGTAGGAATCTTGCGATGATCCTTTGAAGGGGAAGCCTAGCCCGTAACATGAGCATGACCAGTTTCACATCCATGCAGGTACGATGGTCCAAAATCAAGCTCTGAACACGTCGATCCCCGGAAACGGTCCGTAGAAATGTCGTAGTGACCATAATGTACTCCAACAGAACTCGAACTGAACTCGAACTCCCCCCCCCAAAAAAAAATAACTTAGAATTGAACCCGAACTCGAACTGAACTCGAACTGAATTCGAACTCGAACTGAACTCGAACTTCTTTTCTCCCCTAGCAGAAGTGAACCCGAACTCGAACTGAACTCGAACTCGAACTGAACTCGAATTTCC